CCCTCAATGAGGGAGAGGTTGGGCACAAAATAATAGCTAATGGGTAGATAGAATTCAAATATGGCCCCAACATTTTTCAGCCCCTGGTGTATTCACCCTATATAATCCCCAGGACAGTGAATACGGTAGATTTTACTCTCTTGATTTGGTTATAAGGCACAAGTATCCTTTAAATAAGGAGATTATTTGTGTGGGCCTCACCTAATCACATAAAGTACATACAATAGAAAACAAGCAAAGAAATAATGTCTAACATATTTTCAAATTTCAGAAAAAAACTATAAACTCAAAGAACCAAGAGACTAAGCAAAACCCAAGTATTAGAAACATGAAGAAAACTATCCTAGTGCATATTTTAAGTTGCTCAAAACTTGTGCTAATGCAAAAAAAAAAAACAACAAAACAAAAAAAGCAACCTTAAATGCAGCCACAGAAGACCCACTCACCTACATTAGGGAGTCAAATACAAAATCTTCCTGAATCTTTCAAATAAAATATGAGGTTGCAAATAAATACCAGGATTGATTTAGACTATTTTCTTTACCCATCAGACTGCACCAATTCTATCTTTAGGGTGTACTATAAAAGAAGACTTTAGTAATTACCTCGTTTGAATATCTTATAGATCTATTGAAGGGAAATATAATTACCATTTTGTAAAAAATTTAGAAACTGAGCTCTATTTGAACATATTTACTCATATGTTAAAATAAATAGTACCAAGAAGGGCAATTATACAATATTCCATGTGAAAGAATATGCTTCCTTTTTTTCTTTCTCTTGCCTTTTCTAAATGTGGAATCATGTTTCCTCTGAATTCCAAAAAAATAAATAAATAAATAAAAATTGGTTTTGGATAAAGACACAAAGGATAGAATTGATTATATATATATATAAAATATATAATTCATATTTAATGAAATATGTGTTTCAAATTACTGATATACTAAGCTGACTTGGAAACAGCTGTGACTTAACTGGCATAGATAAGTGGATAAAGAGAGAATATTAACATTAGGCAAAGCCAGAGAGATAAGAGGTTGACTACCAAGGTAAGATTATCAGTGGTATCATGTCTTCCTAAGGAACATCATAAGCATAAGTTTGAATTGGACTGATTTTCTGTAATATTGACTTCAAGTATTGGTTGAAAATAAGAAATAGTTTCCAGCCTTTTGGGGGTAAGGCATTACTAAGAGCATCAGCTAATCACATTGGAGTTGAGAGCACAGCTCCAATGGGTGATAAGAAGCTGAAGATGAAACTCACAGTGAAGGCTGGGAATGTACAGGCAAGCACTGTGGTTCCAGCATACTCTGAGTTCTCATCATCTCACCCATGCTCTAGGTATATTGCAACAAAACAAGTTGTCATCTCCATTATTGTGGGGTTAAAACTTTCTACTTTGATCTGCATTCACTGAACAACTTAGGCTGAGCCTGGCTCTGTGGATAACGTCGTCATTACAAGAAATGTAATGACCACCATCAGCTGGCAATTGGGAGATGAATAATATAGGAGAAAAGAAGAGATTCTTGCTTTTACTAATCAATTATTTTTTAGTTCCCAAATATTCCTTTCTTAGAGAAAAAGGGGAAAGTTTAGACATGGGAAACACTGAGAAAAGTCAGACTAAATATTTTTAGAATATCCATTTATTTCTTATTATCACAAAATTTTTAGAATATCCATTTATTTCTTATTATCACAATTCAAGGAAATGATGTACCACTTTTTCACTTTTGAGAGAGAAACCGTTAATAAAATTGATCGTTAATGCTGAAGATTGTCATGAATTAGTCACTAGATAGAGGCATGTTTAAATTGCAAATTACTTTGAAAGTCATTAACCACCCCAAACTTAATAAAGTGAAATCTTCACACTATTAAAGAGAGTAACAGATGTTGTTTTTAATGTTTAATGAAAAATATTTATCTGCTGCTATAATCCAGTCCTGTCTGCCTGACCCCCCTCTTTTTTTTTTCCTGCTCTCCAGTTAGGTTTGTTATGTTTCATTTGAAAGCTCTTTTGCAAGATGATGAGTGCATTATTTTTTTACAATTGTGAAGGCTCAATCTTAGATAAATGTTATTTATAAAGGAGTTCTGCATACTGCATATTTGAGAGCAAGAGTCAGTTTCTAGAAATCTGTGTGAGTAAAATGGAGAGAAGGCATTTTTTTTTTTTTTTGTCTCCAGCCAATATGGCAGATGAGGATATATAACCACAGAAAAGCATTGTAATTGGTGCAGCTTCAAGCCTTGAAAGATACTGCATGGTAACTGTGCTTTCTCTTAGATGATCTTTTTTTCCTTCTTGGATTATTTAAGGGGGACTAATTTTTTGAAACCCTAGGCAACAAGATCACAAGCAGTAAACAAAGTTTGTATCAAGAAAATAATGGTATTTCAATGTTAGGGAAAAACAATGTCATAGCCAGGAGGGAAGCAATCAGAACTTACACTGCTGCAATCTGGAAGCTTCTCCTCAGGACCTGTTTACCGCTGGTTCACTGTTCTCCCAAGCAGTATAATGTGCCAAACAAGTGGCAGGTGGGAAGGTTATGTAAAAAACTGTCTCCATGACTTCGTTGACTACTGACATACAAAAAGAAATTGTAGAGACATTGAGCCTTCTGAAATAAAAAATGAAAATTAGGGTAATCTCCTCAACCAAGAGACGGAACTGGTCTCTATCTAAACAGACCTAAAGTGAATAATATTGTCTAGTGTGGATAGAGCTCCTTCTGATTAAAAAATGTGTCACAGCTTCCTTAATTTTGTGTAATAGTATGAAAAATATATCCTTGATTTCACCTTCTAGACTTGCAACTTTCTCCTAATTCTTTGCGTTCCAGGTTCAAGGAAGAAAAACAGCAATCATGAAGAGAGAGAAAGAGCAGCATAACAGATCATTACATTTATAGTAATGATTTGATTCTCAGAGCCAGGCTTAGCCCAAGTTGTTTAATGAATGCAAATCAAGGTAGAAGGTTTCAGCCCCAGCATGAGTGGAGTTGATAATTCGTTTTGTTGCAATATAGTTACAGGATATATATATTAGTCTCCCTGGAACATTCACTCCCATAAGAAAGGAACCATTTTTTCCCATCTATTAGGCAAATCTTACAGATTGAAATATTAAACAATTAAAGTTTGTTGTTACGTTATACTGTGATGAAGTACCACAAGTAATCTTATCCTTGACCATAGATTAAAAGATCATAGCCTTCTGAGGAACTGCAAAATGACCTCTAAAATTGTGTGGAATATAAAGGCATTGCAGTCTAAAATAACTGTAAGTTATTTTACAAATTGTACAAATATTTACAGACTATGGTACCTAATATAGGCCAGGAGCTATGCCAAGTACTTTAGAGGGAAACACAAAGACGGCAAGCATAGCCCCTGACTTAAGGAAACTTCATGTTTAAGAGAAAGAGTAGACAAGTATACAAACTAATAGGCAGCAAAAAAAAGTTCATTTAGGCTGGGCGCGGTGGCTCATGCCTGTAATCTCAGCACTTTGGGAGGCTGAGGCGGGCAGATCACGAGGTCAGGAGTTTGAGACCAGCCTGGCCAACATGGTGAAACCCCGTCTCTACTAAAAAAATACAAAAATTAGCCGGGCCTGGTGGCGTGTGCCTGTAAGCCCAGCTACTCAGGAGGCTGAGGCAGGAGAATTGCTTGAACCTGGGAGGTGGAGGTTGCAGTGAGCCGAGATCACACCACTGCATTTCAGCCTGGGTGACAGAGCAAGACTCCGTCTCAAAAAAAAAAAAAAAGTTCATTTAGAGATAATCAAAGATGTAAGGATGTTCAGATCAGGAGCTCTTAAGTTCAGAGAAATATTACATGGGCTTTGTGGATTGAACTTGGTTTCTCCGGGGAAGAGAAAATGTAGATGATCCAAGCTGGGGGAACAAAATGAACCAAAGCATCAAATTTGAAGTATTAGGATATTTGGAGTTGGCAAATTGTTCATTGACTTGTGGAGTATGCTGGTTGGGATGGCAAATATGAGAGCTGTTGACAAGAAAATTGTCCTGCCATGTATTTCTTCTATATATTACATTCATGACCTGTGTGTTTGTTTATTTTGAACTCTTTCAAATGAAAGATGACATATGAATAGCCATTCTGTATAACTTGGTAAAATGTCCCCAAAGTGATAAAATCCTAGTAACCAGCATCTAGATCTAAGAATCATAGTACCATCATCCAGAAGCCCCCCAACCTCCATAGCCTCTTTTAGTCACACATCCCCCATAAAAATCATTATCCATTTTTATATGTACCATTGCATCACAGTAGTTTTTTTGTTTAGAACTTAATATAAATAAAATATTAGATAAACTTGTGTTTGACTTCTTTTACTGAAGATCTGTGTTTAGTGTAACTATAGCTTCTTCTTTTTATTGTTTATTAGTATTCAATTGTATAGAATTGTAAGAATGATCTATTGCTGATGAACATTCGGTTTTTTAATTTGTTTTAATCTTAACTTTTCAATCAAATAAATGTGTTAAAAACAACTCAATTTCAAAATGGTTAAATGAACGCAGTGACTGATTAACTTAAATGTATACATAATCACCTACATACCATATTCAAGTATGAACAATAATCAGCAATTTTCCTTATTAGTGATGAGTCATAACTCCAATTCAAGGACTGGGAAGTAATTGGGTCACTTCTGTGTCCTGTTTATCTCTTCTGTGGTCACCTGACTAGCTCAGTTGGTAAAGCCTGAGACTCGTAACCTCTTCTAGTTTGCTTCATACTCTAGTCTGTGTTGACCTCTTTGAATTCTGCACTGTCATTCCTGATTGGAAAGATCCTCAGATGCAATATAAACATTGTATTCTTGTGTTAGAGGATGTTTTGCCTCAACCGCAAAACATCAGGTATTTCTACTATGTTATGTAAACAAACAACCAAAAAAACTCCTTGCACACATTTTGTTTCCCAATTCCAGAATAACTCTGTTGAAAATTTACCTCACTCGCTCTGATGAAGGAGAGTGTTATCTTTCTCTTGAGAAAGCTCTGTGTTTTGAGAAGGAACAACTAACTTTCAGATTGCCATCTGGAAGGTTTCTCACTCAGGAAACTTATCCAAATTCCCCCTCTATTGTCCTCAAAAGGATCGTCCATCCATGGCTCTGTGATTCTCGCTGTGTCTTGCACTGTTAATGTTTTTCTGGGGGAAAGTAACATTTCTTAGGATCATAGGCAGCGCTTCCCATCTCAGTTACCAATCATGATCATTACCTCCGTCAACCCCTGATATCTGCTTTTATAAATTTTGAGGGGAATAGAAAGGAAAGACCAAGAAAATGCAGAAAGTGGAGGGGAGTGCTTTCACCATACATTGTATGTATCTTCAGAGATTCAGTAAGAGGATGAAAGGCTGCTGGGCAAGTGACTCCGTGGGACTCCAAACCCTACTTGTACTTGACAAAAATGATTATTTAACTTTTTTAATTTTCAATTTTACAGATTAAAAAAAGGATGGCAGAGTGAGACACTTCCCTTTTTATTCATTCTCGCTACTGTGCAACTATGAGTTTCCGAGAAGTTATAAGGTTGACTTCATATCATCCATCCCAGTTACAATTCCACTGTGCATAAACACACTTAATGGATTATATAACTACTGTATAAAAAGATGTATTAATTCCTTGGGTGGGACTTGCAGTTGTTCTGGAACTTAAATGCATGAATAATATTTCCAATATAATATATGAATATATGTCCTCTGAGTATAGGACAAATATCTTAAGGAGAAACAGTGTTATCATTCTTAATACATACCAGAATTTTTTTAATGGAATTTTACTGTAATAAACAGCTTATTACAGAAAAACACTTTCTCTGAATATAATGTATCTTATTATAATGCTCAGTATAGCATCATGGTTTTTTTTATTATTTCCAAATAACATAGAAGAAGTTGGATTTAATCTAGTAAGAATTACAACACAATTTCTATAGTCAGTAGCTCAGTAATGAATTCATGTGAATTTGAATGTCCATTTCTGAGCTACTTACTTTAATTCTAAAAATGTTTATTGAGTGTTAAGTATATGACGTGTCAGATCATGAAAGTATAAAGCAAATTAAGTCAATTATCCTATATTTCAAGGAATTTATGGTATAACCTAGTAGACAGTAAAAAACATAAAATCATCATGGTGACATACATTTCATGATGGAGATACATAGCTTCCACGGGAAACCAGAGAGGAAGATTTTTGTTTGCTTGTTATTTTTTTATATATATATATATATGTGGAGGGGGGTGTATTTTTACAGATATGTGCTTATACAATCAAAGTTTTATGTGCAAAAGCCTGAGATGTATGGCTTTGGAAAACAGGATAAGTTTTAGGAAGTAAACATTGGAGGGGAGAGGCAGTCAAGAGATAAACTTGATCTTAATGATCTTCAGAGAAGTCCTAACTTTTAGACATTATTAACCATATTTCACAGAAGTCATGGTACTGATTCCTGGCCAAATCTGCTGTATACAAAAGCCTATTCAATCTTTTACTCTATACAACTGAGATATTAAATTGGAAGTTATTTATTTTAATAACATAATTTTTCTATATAATACTTCACAATTCCAAAGCATCTTCACATAAATTGCCTTATTTTAAACTCATAACCACCTTGTGAAGCAGAAGGTAAGCATATTTATTCCCATTTACACATGAGGGAACAAAGGCTTAGTGTAATAAGAACTGGCGCAAGATTATCACACATTTATGGAGTAAAATCTAAGTCATTTTATTCCCAATTTTGCAAACTTTTATTCTCTGTTTCTTAGTGTCATAGTTACTATGATAAAATAGGCAGTCATGACTGCATATTTATTCTTACATACAATTTGTAACATCTTCTTTTAAGAGTATAATTAATAAAATTTTTAAAACCAGGACTTGAACTGGGTGAATTCAGAGGATAGAGGACAAGCTGGCACACATAGTGAAAAATGTAGAATGCAAGAAAAGGCCCAAGTGCTCCGAATGGATGCGGATAGCTTAAAGAAATTGTCACACAGAGTTTAGCTTGTAACTGGGAAAGTAACTTTTTCAAATGGCTTCATGAACAATCTCCTATATATAAGCAGAACAGAATATACCAACATGTCTAAACACACATGCCTGTTTGAGTCCTTTGATAACACTATTACTAGTTGTTTCCTCTACAAGGTTAGGTTGGATTTGGCCAGTTAATTGAAACTGAAGAAAACAAAATCTAAACAGATTACATGGGAGCTCAAATTTGAAGGAGGGATTCATTTAGGGAACATGCATTCAACTAGCCAATGTTAACATGCAGGACCACGTTAGACACATGAGAAATAAGCCTACACAATTTTCAGTCCTGTCAGCTGTAGCTAAGGAGTTATGGTGAATACTATAAAGTTAGGTCAATCACCTATATATTGGGACTGACAGTTATTAAGGAGAGCTAATGTGTTGATCCAAGTGATATTTAAAAACCATAGTTAGTTTAGATGAGGTTGTAATTCCCATTTTCATCATGAATTTTATTTTCCTTTGTCAAAGATGTAATAATACTGAATAGACTTTAAATGATTTAAAGCCTCATAATAATTTCACTGTTCATATCTCATTAATTACTTAACATTATAATGATGGCCTACCTCATAAATAGAAATACAAAAATAGGCGACAATGATAGAATATAGCCCTTGCTTTTTGCTGAGATAAATTTGAAGAGATCACAATATTGAAGATATTTCAATACTTAACATGCAAAGAAAAGAAAAACTTGCAAAAATTAAATTCAGTCCTTTTTATATGATTAAAAGAATGATAATTTTGCAAAGCATTATAGAATCTTTTTCTCTCAGGTCTACATTTTTTTCTAGCATGTCTTTCAATTGTGCTAAAAGCAAATTCAGTACATCCTATGTTTTGTCATGTAGGGTGTCATATTGTCTCCTTCATAGCACTGCTGTAAATACATGAGGAGAAGAAAAATTGAAGTAGCAAATAGGGCGTGTGTGTGTATGTGTGTGTGTGTGTGTGTGTGTGTGTGTGTGTGTGTATTTACCACAAAGTTAATATAAGTTTAAGTACTATAACTACTACAGAACTCTAATTCTCAAACTGGATTTTATATCAGAATAGTCTTAGAAGTTGTCAAGATGTAGGTTTTGTGGCCCTACTTTTTTCCTACCAAATCAGAACATCACTGTTGCGGTGCCCATAAACCTATATTTGCAATACTCTCCATGGTGATTCTGATGTGCAGCTGGATTTGAGGACCACTGATAAGATATTCATATCAAATATTAAATGTGTGTACATAATTAGTATTGAAAATACATGTGATGTTTCTTTGAAATTGTAAAATATCTAAAATAATGGTTTTAGAAGTAACTCCATGCCCAACATCACCATGGTAAATGCTGCAAAGTATTAAATACCTAGCATAGTGCCTCTTAACAGCTCATCGTGCTGGCTTGGGTCATGGGTGATAGTTAGCAAGAAAATTATCAAACGTGAACTGGATTATCAAATGAAAACTTGATGAACTCTTCTATACTGCAGGAAAAGGGGAAGAGTGACTTCAGGGTAAAGAGCAAATGTCATCAGCTCAGCAGTAGCCCAAAGACCCCCTTCAGTGTTTTCCACATCCCTTCATGTAATTATGGTAATTATCATTGATTATGCTCAAAGTTTTTTCTAGATAGTCTTTTAAACATTTGCATAGATTATAATTACATAATTCTCACCAAAAATATTATATGTTATTAAATCCATGTTACAATCTGGAAAACTGAGGGTTTCACAGAGACCTGTATTTTGTAACTACTAAGATAATACAGTAACTACAAAATACAGTTACTACAGATAATACAGTTACTGTAAAAATACAGTAACTCTACAGGTAACAATGATAACAAAAGGTTGTCTTCAAAAACATAGATAACACAACTAACAGCAAAATAGCAGACTTACTTTCCTCATTGCCAGAGTACAAGGACTCCTTCTCCCATACTTCTTCCCATGCCTCTGAAGTGCTTGGTTCAATGAAGGTTAGCCTACTTTACTTTGGGACCACATCGATCAGGTACTGCAGGGCCAGTGGGCAGTAGAGACCTTCTATTAAGTTTTCTTATGAGTCACTGGTGAAGCATAGGAGTTCCCTGCCTCTGGCACTCTATAGGAAAAAAAAAAAAAAGGAACAAAAGAAAACAGGCAATTCGCCCCTGTCACATAGATTAATCAAGAAAGCCATAACCTTTGTATATTTAGTTTGTCTCTGATAAGGGGAAAAGGGCATTATGATAGATACAGACAGGAATCACTTCAATCATCTTTAAATGTCTTAGGACGTAAGGCAAGGGGCTTAACGCTTTCATTTAACACATGTATTCTTTTTCTCTTGAAGTTTCTGTAATTATTACCTGTGCTCCTTCTATCACGCTGTATTGTGAAAACTTCAGAGAAAAGAAGCGAGTTCTATAGATCAAAGAAAAAATTGACTGGAAAAAAAAAGGATTGTCTTTCTACTAAACACACACACATATTCTGTTGTTATGGCAACATAAGATCTAAGAATGGCACACCAAATAATATGGTACCAAGGCACATTATTATACTGTCATCAAATGTCACAATAAATGTGCTTCAGCTCCTGAATATAACATACAGTATTGTTTTCTGTTCTTCTCAGTACTTTCACTTGAGGTCAAAGCAACTTTTTTGAATGAAGACCAAATATCACCCATTGCCCTTCTTGGTAAATCTTTCTTGCATAAAGATATCCCACTAATTTCACTGAAAATATATTCAGTAGATTAAAAATTGGGCTATTTCTTCTGTTTCCTAAGGGAACAACTGTTTATCCTTCAAAACCCATTACACTGTATCTACATAGCAATATGCTTAGCTGAGGAATTCGTTTGTGTGTGTGTGTAGTGTGTATATATATATGTGTGTGTGTGTGTGTGTGTATGTATAAATAACTTTTATTGACTAAAAATTGGCTACAAATATGTAGACAAAGTAAATCATACTGATTTAGATAAAACAGATTGGTTTAGTATATCTTCCCACATGCTTTTAATCTTTAAAAATATATTTATGTAAGAGAGCAGTGGTGGAAATTTTACCATTTTTTGGATGGTGCTGCAAATTATAGAGTTGCTTTATTCTTCATATTTTCTCTAATATCCTGATATGCATATGTATGTTAGTGTTCTATTATGGTATTGACTCACAACCATACCATGTGACTTTGCCAATGGAAAGACAAAAAAAAAAAAAAAGAGGAAGGACGGGTTACAAGTCAGCAGCATTTTTCTGCAGAACAATATGGAGAGATTGCAACAACAGTGAAAAGGTGAGTTATCTAGGAGGTTTTAGAAATGATAGGAAAAGATCACACATTTAAAACAAGCATGAAGTACTGAGAACTAACATGGGGAGGGTCTGAAATTGGCATTAGGGACTGTTTCCTCTTTCATGTAGGAGCAGAAGAGGAATAAAAAGGAAAGGCTAGGTTGAAGTAGAAAATGAGGTTTCAAAGATGTGTCCTTGGGTGTATGTCACCCTCATGCCTTACTGCCCTTCCACCTCTGATATTTCACTCTAATTCTGCACCTATATGTTTTTATTTTTAAACCAAGAAGTTGTCACTAAAATATAGAAAAATGCAGATGACCCCCAACTTACTATAATTTGACTCACGATTTTTTTGACTGCAATAGTGTGGAAGCAATACCCATTCATTAGAAACCATACTTGGAGTACCCATAGAACCATTCTGCTTTTCATTTTCAGCTCAATGTCCAATAAATTACAAGAGATATGCAACACTTTATTGTAAAATAGGCCCTGTGTTAGATTACTTTGCCCAACTGTGGGCTACAGTAAATGTTCTGAGCACTTTTAAGGTAGGCTATGCTAAGCTATGATGTTCAATAGGTTAGGGGCATTACATGTATTTTTAACTTAGGATCTTTTCAAGTTATGTTGTGTTTATCAGGATGCACCCTCATCATAAGTCAAGGAGCTTCTGCAGATTTCTGAATTGTACCAGTCCATTTCCAGAATATTCTACATTTATCGCTAGGAGCTCATTTCAACAGAAAAATAAATCCATAAAATTGCCATTCAGTTAGTGTCAGCTAATTCTGCTGCTCTGTCCCTATTTATTTGAAAAATGTGCTATCCCACAACACAGTATATTTGTGAGTGAACTAAATTAAGGGTGATAATACTGAACCTACTAATTTAAAATATATTCTGGGGCTCTTAGCTTAGTCAAACATATTTAATGTTTCTCTTCTCAATATTATTCTCTCCAACTACCCATTTCAAGAAATAATTTAACACTGAGTGGAGAGCTGTACACTGATAAAAGAGGTCTATTGTCCCCAAAGCATTTACTATCAGTTTACTCAGACTATCTTAAAATGCCAAAGAAAATGAAATTCCAACTCAGTAATTTAGCCATGTGCTAAATGTATTTTCTGATGAGATTGCTGCATATTACTGAAGTCCAAATTAGAAAGTCGGTGAAAATTGATTGGGAAATCTAAGGACTGCATTAAAAAGACAAAGGCATTAATGGAAATAACATGGACTTCAGTGAATGTTTGAAACAACATTTCAGAATTTTATTTTTTTTAGAAGTACAGGTTGTTGTGTAGCACCAAGTGTGTTCAAGCTACCTATAGAAATCTGGCAGGGGGGACATGAAACCATCTTTGAAAACACCCACAAACATCTTTACAACTGTAGTTTATCTATCACGCATAAATACTTCGATGCAGGAAAGTTCCCAGGCACCCAGCTAGAGAGCATGTTAAATTTTGAAGCATATTTATGGAACAGTTATGGGACTTGGGCTTATCACCAGATGTCAAAATATCCATCAACTTTTGAAAGATTTTTCTCTCCTATGGAAAGACAAAGGAGGAAAAGGCAACACTCTTCTCAATTTTTCACTTTTAGGTTGTACTGGCACAGGTGTGCTGTTGTTCCCTGTGGTTTTACTGTTTAGCGATCATGTAGAACCTTAGATTTGAAAACACTCTCCCTCATTAATCATCAGTTCCTCACACTGTGATGTAGGCTCTACAGTGAGTTCCTCCTAACAGGGCTGAAAGGGAAGCTGAGGAGAGACAGCACCACACACACACACACATGCAAAAGTGTGCACAAGCACACACACAATTGATTTTGTAATTTCTAACATTCATTTATTGGCCTGTTCTATATATTCAATAAATGACTAAATACCATCAGAATTGACACTAATATATAATTACATGTAATTGTAAAAGGGGGTGATTACATTTATGGGTAATGTTCTTAGTTTATTTAGTTACATGAATACCGTTGACTTATAGTAGAAGAAGAATTTTAAGAACATTTATTTGCTTCCACAATCATTGCTTGGAAATATTCATCCCATTGATGTTCAGATATCCCCCTGCTGTCTTTTATATTCATCTACTTTCATTTTTCTTCTCATTCTGTTTTCTTTCCCTCTTCGTTGCTGGAAGTCAGGGACCCTGAACGGAGAGACTGGCTGAAGCCATGGCAGAAGAACATAAATTGTAAAGATTTCATGGACATTTATTAGTTCCCAAAAGTAATACTTTTATAATTTCTTACGCCTGTCTTTACTGCAATCTCTGAACATAAATTGTGAAGATTTCATGGACATTTATCACTTCCCCAGTCAATACTCTTGTGATTTCCTATGCCTGTCTTTTCTTTAATCTCTTAATCCCGTCATCGTCGTAAGCTGAGGATGAATGTCACCTCAGGACCCTGTGATGATTGCAGTAACTGCACAAATTGTTTAAGCAATATGAAATCTGGGCACCTTGAAAAAAGATCAGTATAATAGTGATGTTCAGGGAACAAGGGAGATAACCATTAGGTCTGGCTGCCTGAGAGCTGGGTGGAACAGAGCCATATTTCTCTTCTTTCAAAAGTAAATAGGAGAAATATTGCTGAATTCTTTTTCTCAGCAAGGAACATCCTTGAGAAAGAGAATGTGTTCCCAAGGGGAGGTATCTAAAATGGCCTCTTTGGGAACATCTGCCTTTTACAGTTATAGATAAGGGATGAAATAAGCCCTGGTCCCCCATAGTGCTCCCAGGCTTATTAGGGCAAGGAAATTCCTGCCTAATAAATTTTGGTCAGACCGGTTGTCTGCTCTCAAACCCTGTCTCCTGATAAGATGTTATCAATGAGAATGTGTGGCACCCCATCCTCTGGTCCTGTGATCTTGCCCTGCCTCCATTTGCCTTGTGATATTTTATTGCCTTGTGAAACATGTGATCTCTGTGACCCACACCCTATTTGTATGCCCCTCCCTTTTGAAACTCACTAATAAAAACTTGCTGGTTTTGCAGCTTGTGGGCATCACGGAAACTGCCGACACGTGATGTCTCCCCCGGACACCCAGCTTTAAAATTTCTCTCTTTTGTACTCTTTCCCTTTATTTCTCAGACCAGCGAACACTTAGGGAAATAGAAAAGAACCTACGTGAAATAATGTTGAATTATCGGGAGCTGGTTTCCCCCAAAACCTCTTAAAAAGACTTACTGTATACTGGGCCTTCTCACTTTCATTCTTCCTCTTTTAGTCTGTCTCCTCTGTGTGTTTCTCTTGCATTCCAATATTTTCACTCTTTTCTAACCATCTTTTCTACTTTCTGTACCATTCAGTGACATTACCTCTTGCCTATCACTTTTTTATTGCATTTATATTTATCTTTATCCTCTCATCTTTTTTACTCAGATATTTTTCTCCCTTCTGTGATAAATTTCTGTTTCTCCTATAATGGACATTTTTCCTTTCCTCTTATGTGAATGTTTCCCTTTCTTTTTTTCCCCATGATTAATATTTTCATCTCCCACATTTTTCTCAAATGCTAATTTCGCTTTTACTTCCTTTGTTTTCTCGTCCATTTGCCTTACCTTTATTGTTCTTTTTCTCTATTCTTATGAGAAAATATCCTCTTTATCATCATTTCTTGCATTTTCATTCATTGACTCTACACTATAGTCCCCTTCATAGATATTGCAGGTGGCAATACTAATTTCTCAGTCCTTAAAAGGTCATTTTCCTTAAGTGTCCTAGGGTTGATTTTATATGTCATCGTAAGTCCTGCCTTATTGGTCTGCTCTATTTGTTGAATAAATTATTAACTCTAGTGAGAATTAACACTAATAAGTAATTACCTGTAATTATAAAAGGGTGATAATCATTTTGAGAGTTTGGATCCTTGGTTTATTTGATTGCATAAATACCTATTAACTCCAGTAGAATAAAATCATTGATATTGATTTAAAGGTAACCAAAGGTATTACCCTACCTTTGAGACTCTACAGTAGATTGAAATGACTAAATACTTATATATTTTCTTATCTTTAAATAGAGGTAATTAAATTTGATCACAATTTTTTCTTTACCACACTGCCTTTATTTTGCCAACAAAAAAATAATGTGCAATAATTCAGAAATAAACTTGGCAATACAATAAATACAGAAACA